GCTTGTTCCCTCTGGTGCATGGCTGCAAGCTCCTCCCTGTTGCACTGTGGCTCCCTGTACCCTGTGACAGGAGAAGGAAAAAGTGACCTGACTGCTTTGGTTAGTATCTGCAGAAGAAAGTTGGTGAAGGCCTAGCATTTTCTACATGGGCTAGTTCCTCATTTGGAACCTTAATTGTGTCTTTATTTAAGTCAGCCCTCTTCTTTTGTCAGACAGATGGCCCTGAAGTCTCAATTGGATTTTCGGCTTTTGCCTTTCCTACAAGGATGTGATTCCAAAGACTTTGTGTTATGTGAAGAGTCTCACAGAGAGCAGGCTCTGCTCTGGGTGGGCTTTGGAACAGAGACCTTGAAGAAAGAGGGGTTCAGAGGGAAAATATGCTCTCTTCCTGTACTGCAGACCTTAGACAGGCATTGGGTGTGTGCTTCTGTGCAGATAGCAGAGTACTGTGAAGCTTCAGGGGCTGAAAGTTCCCTTGGGCCTGGTGGGCCTTGGTACGTGGCAATGGGCTTCTCCTCTTGGTGTGGATGCAGAGGGTTGAAGGCTGGGAGAGGCTGGCTAAAGGAATGACACACACCAGTGAGAATTTTATTATACTCTGGGTAGACTGGGAATAGGAAGGCTGTGGTCAAACTGGAGCCCATTGGGGACACTGGGCTGTTGCTTTGCCTGTGTAGACTGGGCCTTAGGGAAATCTGCCTGGCGTCACATACCTAGGAAGTTATTGGGTACAAGATGTTCTGGCCTGGCTGCCACCAGTTTTACCTCACAGGCAGGGCTCAGAAAGCAAGATGGGAGCCCCTCATCCCACCTTGAGGTCTTGAATGATACCAATCAGAATTCCTCATTCATGACAGGGACCATCCTGGGTAACTCATACCAAAAGAGTACTCCCTAGAGCCATGGCAGAGAGCTCACGGGCCTAGAGAAGAGCTGGTGGGGCAGGGCCCAGACATGAGAAAACGCTGGAAGCAGGTGCTCAAGGGCAGCCTGAGACCTCCCTTTTAGGTGAGCTGGCATTGCACCCCTTGTTTTGGGAGTCAGAATGTGAGCCAGTCGTTGTATGGCCAGCAAGCCCTGGTTTCTTGTCATCCTGTGCCAGAGGAAATGGAGGTACCTTGATTAACAGTACCACCAAGACCTGTTCAGTGAGGGAGAGGAGGTATTCCAAGGCAAAATTGGGGTGCCATTAACAAAAAGGGAGCTGTATTACTGGGCTGTGTAGTCTCATACAATCAGTGAAAGGAGCAAGATGGCTCACTTTCAATGGAGAAGATGGAGAAGGTGTTCTTTCTTTTTTTTTTTTTTTTTTTTATTTTAAGGATAAAAGGAGGGAAACATTAACAGACATACAACATTTTACAACATATCACAAGCACAATACAGACAATACAGAGTTACAAACAAAGTGGTAGGGAATTAACAATGGTGGTTGTATTACATATTGATATCTTCAAAGTGGCTTCTCATGAAAACAGATATAGACATGCAATACTGGTCAACCAAAGACTCATTGACAGTTTCTTTCAGCATAGAAACAGCAGATAGAAGAACAACCATGTTATCTATCCTGTATATACATACATACAAAATTTCTCCTTCTTTCCCTTCTCTTTTCCCACATCCCAGAAGCCCTTTACTGGTGTTCTTTCATATTGTAATATTTTAGTGTGAAACCTTCCTGGTCTGCTGGCACCCTTGGATGGGGAATTGGGGGCAGGCATGGGGCGCCTGGGAAGACCTGGTTGAGTGGGGTGGCCTTGCCTCACTCAGTTCCCTACTGAGTTTTGGCTTTCCCTGAGCCCAGCAATTTGGGGAAGCAAATACGTTCTGCCCAGTGAACACCTGCTTCTGTTGGCTGAATGTCCACGGGATGTATGGGAGTAGGCTGGCTCTGACAGGCGGCTCCAGACATGGAACCTGCTCTGCGCTGGAACATCATAAACAAGAGAGCCCCCTTTCCTGGGAAGCTTCATTCTCACAGAGCAGAGAATATGCACAGACACAGGCACACTGACCATGCTGTGTTGTGTAAAACAGGTGTGCATGAGGTATGCCAGAGAGGAGCCCGTGACAGGAGGGTAGTGATCTAGTCAGGATGCTCAAGGAGGGCCGCTGAGGAGCACACAGATAGGAAGGAGAATGCAGAGCCTGTCATGTAGAGATCCCAGGGCAGAGAAACCGAGGTAGCAGCACCTAGCAGCAGGGGTGGAGAGGATGGGCACAGGAAGGTGAGGGATCCTGGGGTTGGCTCATGTGGGAGTGTGGGGTTGGGAGAGGAGTGACCTGGATTTTATGCTGGTTGCTGTGCGAAGTTGGAGAGGAATGACATGGTTTGCTCTCTGCTTTAAAAAGATGACTTTGGTTCTGGGTAAAAGGTGAACAGTGGCCAAGGGCACCCATAAGGAGACCAGCGGGGTGGCCATTTGGTGGCGGCTTGGACAGGGAAACTGGTAGGACAGTGAGAGTGTGCTCCCCACCTGGGAAATGATGAGCTACTCAGGGGATCTTCCGCAAATGCTGAAAGTCCTTGTTGAGTGAATAAATGAGTGAGTGGGTGAGTGACTGGGGACTAGGGAGCCCTGGGTGCTGGCCCAGGGGCATCCCGCTGTAGGCCACAACTCAGGCTGACACACTTCTGCATTCCTTGCCCACATTCCGTGGGCAGGCCTGGGTCAGGAGTGCCCCGAGGTACTTTCTGTTAGAATCTGCCAACTCAGTGGGACAAAGAGACTGTGGGCACTGTCCCACCAACAAGGCGGGAGTTGGCTGTGTAGTCTTTCTGTCTATAAAGCCCAAGCCCTCTAGGCTCCTGCCTACCATTAAAGCAGCCTTCCTGTTTTCTTCTGTTTTCAGTGGTCCCTCTCATGGTTTGGGCTTCAGTGGGCTACCAGCCAGGGTGCTTTCAGCCATCTGACCACCCCAGGGTATGGGGACTGTGGCTCCCCAGTGGGCATTTTTTCCCTTATACCTGGGTGCTCCCTGAGTGCTGGAGCTTGTAGGTACCTGGCAAGGGAGAAACCCAGTTTCTGTCTGAACCCTTTCGCTGGGAGCAAGGGGCCTGCCTAGTGTCTACAGGCTGTGCACTTGGCTGTGAGTGGCAGAATCCCAGTGGCAGGCTCCTGTGTGTTTGTTACCTTTTCTCCGTGGGGTGACTTTGGTTTTGCTTTCAGCTCTGTATCTTGCGGTGTTAACTGGGTCAACTGGAAGGGCGGCAGGTGCAGCTGTCTTACCTCTTTCCAGATACTGCTGTGGGTGGCTACAGCACGGATGGTTAGATACATCATTGGAATCCAAGAAGGTAACCTAGCCTGGTAGTGCAAGTGTTTTAAACTGAGGAGGGGGACCCAGGTGAGGTGGTAGACACCTGTAATCCTAGCACTTGGGAGGTTGGAGGAGGAAGATCTCTGTTAGTCAGAGGACAGCCTGGACTATATAATGAGTTCAAGGCTAGCCTGAAGGACCTACAAGACCCTGTCTCAAAAAAAAACAAAATAAACAAAAAACTGAGGAGGGGGACTGGAGAAGGACTGCTCTACCCAGCTTCTTCTGGCCCTTCAATACCAGTTTGGGGGTTCTCTCAGGAAGCTGGCCCTCATCTCCTCCCCATCCCAGTACACAAGCCCTGGGCTTCTTTCAGCTTCAGCTCTGTCTATAATATAATGGTTTTTCTGCCTGACTGACCTCTGTGAAATGTGAGCCCTCCTTTACCTCTGTGTCCATGCACTGATTAAGATGGACCTTTAAAAATCCTGTGGGATAAACGCATTGCTGTCCAAGTACAAAGGTCTCCAGACTGGGCAGATGGGGATGAGGTGAGAGACCTTGTGCCAGGTGCTTGCCACCCTTTTTATCTGGGTGGGCCAGGTGTTCCTAGTCAGCCTCACCCTCTCTCCAGGCCTTAAAGAGCCAAGGACTGGTTCCTGTCCACTTCTCAGCTTATAAGCCTTGCCTGTCCCTGTCACTGGGGGTGGGCAGGGTGTTGGGAGCTCCTCAGCAAAGCCGGCTGGTCCGTCTGGGGCTGAGAGCTTCTTTCTCCCTTGCAAGATGCACCCCAGCACAGCCTGCACAGATCGCTGCCATTCCTGTCTAAGTGAGTGGGTGAATGAATAAGGGGCCAGAGAGTTTTAGAATGCTTGAGGCAGACCTTCGTGGGGTTCTGATGGGGAGTCTCCTCTGCACTGGTGGTCAGAAGAGCCCCACTGACTTGGATGTCAGTGAGCATGAGGAACCCCCCGAGTCCTCCGTGTTCAGATTGTTCTCTAGCTGTGGAGCAAGTGCCTGGCGTGTGGGCTTCTCCAGGTTTCCTGGGCCTGGTTTTTACTCCATGGCCATAGTGTTAGCCTGAGCTCTGAGGGAAGACGGAGAATGCTCACAGTGGAAGGGGAAACTTGTGGAAAGACAGTGCCTAGGAGTTAGCGCTAAGGTTGAGACCAAATGGAAGCGTCGAGTTTCTGTTTCAGTTTAGAGGGGCCTCGCCGTAGACGCCAAGCAGCTGTGAAGCACAGGCCAGCATTCCCCGAGCCTCCCATTGCTCCCTGCTAGAGAAGGAAGAGCTAGCCTCATTTCCAAGGGAGGGACCTGGGTGGGGTGGGCCTTCTGCTCCTCACTCCTCGGCAAGCCCCACCTCCCCTAGCCTGCCTCCAGCATTGTGGTGGACCTTGTTCACTATTCCCCATCACACCTCCCCCGTAACACCTATGTGGAGACATCCCCTCGTGTCAGAAGTCACGGGCTTTCTGTTTTAAAAATCTGTTCACTTGATAGATCCATGACTCGCTGGAGACTTGGACACAGAGGCTGGGCCCAGTCCTGTGCAGATGTTGTCTCTTGGGATACTCCTTTTCTCCTTCCCCTTGCAAAGGGCAGTTGCTGCCCTTTGCCTCTGCAAAGGGCAGTTCTCTCTATAATTGCGACTTTAGCAAGAGATCAGTGCAGAGTCATGTGCAGATGTGCTTCTTATGACTTGAAGAGTGAATAGCTTTTCTGGTTGTTTTCAGCACACGCCAAAGAAGATGAGTCAAGGACCTACCCTTTTCTCTTGTGGAATTATGGGTGAGTAAACACATGGCATGGCCGTCCTCCTCTAGTTGTTCCAGCCAGGTGAGATGCTGAAAGCTCTTTCAAGTGCCAGAGGGCACCGGGAACTGTCTTATGTGTGTTTCGATTATTTCGGTCCCTAATGCTCCTGGAATGGTCTGGGGGTGAGTGAGTGAGGGGACAGGCACTGGTGTGTGGTTTGCAAATACCATTTCCAACTCTAACACTGAGTATTTCTTTCTGATTATTAAAGTAATTAACTGATTTTTTTTTTAATTTCAGAAAATATACCATAGTATATAAAGTAAAAATGTCTTACAGCCCCAATTCCCAGTGTTAGTTACTGTTGATATTTTCATGTATGTTTGTTTTTGGAATTTTTTTAACATAGCTGAGTCCATGATGAATGTATAATTATATAAAATTGTATTTGCTTGCTTTTTCATTTGCTAGTTACCACAGCATGAAAATTATTCATTCCATGCATTTTAATGGTCTGTATTACTGTATTGTGTGGATGTATCAAAATGGTTAGTGGGCAAAAAGGGCTGTTGAATTTGCTGTTGTCATTAATAATGACTTTTTTTTGTTTTTTGGTACCGGGAATCAAACTCAAGACCTTGCACTTGCCAGGCTGGTGCTATGCCACTGAGCCACATCCCTGCCCCTAACGATGACTCTTAAAGTGCCTGAGTCTTGTGTTTTGGATTATGCCTTAGGATAGTTGGTTCTCAGGGACCTTTTTAGCTTCTTGGTTCATATTGCTGACTTGCTCCCAGAAAGGTGCCTTACTCTGCTTCTGTTTGCATGTGCATCTGAGTTGCCACGTCTTCTAGGGGGCAAAAAAGAATGACTGCATTGAGTGTGTGGATTTCTTGATGCTCTGGGTGATTGGGTACAGCGTCTCCTTTTGCTGCCATTCCATGACTCTCCTGCTGCACTAGGATGTCCTGCCAGATAAGTTTCTGTAATGTCTGTGCTGAGTCAGAGACCAGATTTTGATAGTGGGTAACTACTGTGGGCTCTCAGATTCTCTTTGTTTCTGGAGAGGCACATGAAGTCATCCCTGCCTTCCTTTCTTAGTCCTTTGCCTCTATGTCCAGTGTTTTCCTGTTCTTTTTCAAGGGTTTTCCTGTAGATGTGATGATGTATGGAAGGCTGCGGGGTCTGTTGAGCACTGTGTATGCAGCTTCAGGGCCAGAGAAGTTATGGGGACGCTGAGACCCAGTGAAGTGATCCTCCCCAAGGTCCCTTGAGAGGCAGAATTGGACCAAATAAAGCAGAAGGAAGATTTTCTTCTCAGTCATGTGCCACAGCTCTGAGAGAGCTGAGCGGTCCTCTTTGATGCTGCCACCCGGAGGAAATAGAAACAGGGAGATCACCTGGCCTTGGTTTACCGTGTGACACACTTCTGAGGCCTGTCCCCATATAATTGAATACCTCCTTGGTGGTTAACGGTTTTTGAACCCTCTGCACCCTAGCACATGTCCCGGAAGCCTGCTGCATTGCCTGCTTCCTGGGATGGCCTTACACTCAAGCTGCCTCTATTTGTCATGCCCAGAAAGAGACTTCTTTCAACTCACCAGACTGTAGCTGGAAACAGAAGTCAGACCAGCTTGGGGTGTGGGGATTAAGGCTGTTCATGCATTAAGAATCCCTGGCCTTTACACCTTGTGAATCATAATAAGGTGAACTCTTAGGGGTTTGTAATGGGCAGTGCTAGGGTCATATAATCATGCTGAAGTTCTTAACTTTTCTTTTTTTTTTTTTTTGGTGAAGTTCTTAACTTTTCTGAGCTTAAGTTTCCTCATCTGCAAAACGGCAATTGTGATAGCACCTACCTTGTAGGCTTATTGTGAGAACTGTGTGACATAATGTTTATAAAGAAATTAGCTCAGAGAGAGCTCTCCATAAGTAGTAGTTAAAAAGAAGACTGAGACCTAAGTTGAGGATCCTGCTTCCTGAGAAGAAGCCTCCACATCTAAACAAAGGGAACACCTTCTTTTCCTTTGGAGAGGGGAGTACAGATGGGAACTGCCCTTGTAGGGTTCAAATGTCTGGCCAGGGTCCAAGGCAGAGGTCTGGGAAAGAAGGCTCAGGTTTCCCAGGATAGTCTCTGAGCCTGTGGGCCCAGAAGCCTGATTTCTACCAGAGGAGGCCTGCTTTCTATCAGGGAGACTTGTGGCCTCCAGGAGGTACTGGGCTGTGTCTCTTATGGGCCTTTAGGAAACCCTGTCTCCATCCCAGGGCCTTGTCCTTGCTCCTCCCTTTCACAAGACCCCATCCTGCAGGCCAGCACCAAGGCACTGCCAGTCAGCCTGGGCAGCTGTACAGGTGGTGGGTCAAGGGCATGCCCTTGTCCCACTGTGTGCCTCTCTTCCTGACATGCCTTTTCTGTCTGTTGCTCAGCCCTCTTGAGTCAGAAGAACCCTGTCCACAAGGAAATTTCTGTCAAGTAGAGGAGAAAGCAGCACACAATGATTTCCCTGTGGTGTGGGCCACCTTCCGAGATGTAAGAGCCCTTAGAACCGAGAGCAAGTTACCCCATCCTGCAGTGCCTCAGTTTCTTCCTCTGGGCAATTGTAGATGTTATGGGGATTCAAAGAGATGGCAGTACCCTAAAGGTGCCCATTCTGTCCCTTCCTTTCTGTCCTTTTCTGGCACCTACTTGAGCCAGGAGTGTCAGCTGTCCAAGGCCTCCCAAGCCCTGTGTGTGCTGAGGGAAGCTCGTGTTACCCCTCCAGCCCATGTAACCATGAATTGAGATTTTGTAGCCTCATCCTGTGCTGTGCAAACTGGGAGTGCACCTTAGACAGCGAGATTTCATCTTGGGCGTGTCTGTTTTTCAATAGCAGGGAAGAGAACACCCTGAGGGGCTGGCCAGACTTTTAAAGAGTGTTTTGGGCCCTTCCAGGGTTGGCCAATGCTCAGTAAAGATAAAGCACCAAATTATTATAATCACCAAACCCCAGTCTGTCTTCTGGAGATAAAGGGCTCGAATGCTGGCCCCATCAGTGGAATTCTCCTGTGAGATCTGGCTCTCGTTAGCCCCTTATGCCATGCAAGGGCCCTAGCTGGAAGCCCATATGAGTCTGGGTTTCATAAATGCTTGAAAGAAAGGTCCACTAAGTGCATTAGGGCTAGGAGCAAAGCAATGTATTTTGTGCTGCTGCTTCTTAGAATGCTGCCTTTCCAAATGGCTGGGCCTCCTCTCCACCCCCGGAGATAAAACACATTACTAATATATTCAAGTGCCCGCGATGATGGCCTTTGTTTTGTTTTCAAAGTGCTTCTTGTTTTATGATTTCAAGGTGGATACCAGTCTTCACCTCACCTTTGTCCCCTATTTCAATTTGGAAACTTGATACAAAGAAGTGATTTTGTGCTTTCCCAGATTGGGGGAGAGGACAAAGTCAGGTGAGGTGGGAGTGCGGGACTCAGGGCAGAGAGATCCCAGCCCTGCCCACCTGCTCTGTGCCCAGCTAAGGGCCTCTTATTAGGGTGCCAGGCCCATTCTGTTGCCGCAGGGCCCTTTCTGGCAGAGGCCGGGTTTGCCTTCTTGGTTTCGTTTCTCACTTCCCAGATCATCACCAGCCCACCTCCTGTGATGGAGTGGAATTTCCTCTGCAAACAACTTTTCTGGGGAAGAGCCATCGACCTGATGACATATTGTGCTCTTGACACAGGAAATGTAGGTCAGGTGGCAGCTCCATGGGCGTGGTCCACCTGTGGTCAGCTGGCCAGGCAGGGAGCCAGACCTTGCTCCTGACACTGGCTTCCAGTGAGCACAGAACGCAGATCCTCCTGTGTGGGGTGAGGTGAGGCCTGCATGGGAAGCCATTGTACACAACACCTCTGAATACTCTGCCATTTGTGGTGGGAGATGCTTCTTCATGCTGACTCTGGGGCACACAGAGACTAGTTTAATCGTTTTTAGTGAAACAGGGCAAGTGGGGTGAGAGTAAGCTCCATTCACCACCCTCTGCTAATTGCAGCCATTAAATGAGTTCTGTGTTGTGGGGACAATGGACACCACACGTTTCATTTTCCTCACTGCTCAGGCGAGGAGAAGACCTGGAAAGCACATAAAATTCAAGAAAGCGAAGGCAATACCAATTATTTCAAAAAGGCCACTAGGAAAAAGTCTTGTAAATACAAGTCAGTGGACAGAACAAAACAATTCATATGCTAAAAAATTGGGTGGAAACCCGTAATTACTTTTAGGAGTTATGGTAATAAATTATTTATTAATGTAAATTGTTTCACAGGCAAAGAACATAGAGGAAACGAGCAGAAGGATCATACATTATGTATAAAAAGGAATTGTAAAAATATTATAGCAGCTCTACTTGTGCTGCTCAGTTCAGGTTTGTCAGCATTTTAATTATAAGCCCTTACTTTCCGTGTTTAATTACTTGGCTGTAAAAGTCTACTCTGTACATAAAAGGGTTGTTCCCGGGGGCACTCTCTGGATGAATTTCTGCGGGGAAACCAGTTGGCTGTGTAGAGCTGCGTAGGACTGAGAGATTTCACTTTGAGATTTGGTAGCTTTCAGTCTTTTAACTCAGTCACTATTTGTCATTGAAAGTGGAATGTGACTGCACCTTGTGTGAAAAAGCTGGCATTTACAGGCTGTTCTTGGTTTCTTAGAAAAACAATCAAATGAATGAAACACAATGAAAAACAACAAGTACAGAATCAGAGCTCCTCAGGCCCCATTTTTGGTGCTTTCCACATTTTTTTTTGATCTTTCAGTGTTAGCCATTTTAAGTGTTACGATTGGACCATGGGCTCCTGTGAGAAACTAATTAACTAATATGGGATAGGGTGAGATTTGTTTTTATTAAAAAATTACATCTGTGTAGAAGTATGCATATGTGTATGCATTTTCTTTATGTTTACATGTTATTTTCATTATATCTTTAATGATTGCAGTTATATATGTATAATTTTTTTAATCTCTAAAATAGTCTAAGGTTCATCTGTGGTGCTTTAAATTCTTCTTTGTACTGTTC